TGTGTAAAACCAGGGAGAGAACTAAAACATGCAGGATGCCGGCCCTCCAGGACCGACTTTGGACACCTCTGATAGGGAGTTGGTTGGGTGAACAAACTCCTCCCTAATATCAGAAGGCTGTTAGCGATCAGTAGCTCACTGCTGGCAGATGTTCAGTGCAACATGAAGCAGAAAGCTGAGGTCGTTGTTTCTCCCTACATCCAGTGGGTGGCGCAGGCTGCTACAATCGATAGTAGCCACACAGGCACACCTGCAAGAAGGAGACAAACACACCCAGTACAACACTTTCATTCTATTGGCTGAGAGGTTGCCAGGCAACGGTGCATTTTTGTTCCAGAAGCAAGCAGAAAATGTATTTTAAGCGAGCAGCGTCCAAGCAGAGAGTATGTCTCAGTGCAAGGAGAAGTTTTGAGTACAAGCATTATAAGTTTTGAGACAAAAGATATGAAGTCCTGCTTTCAAAATAAAAATGCAAGCAAAAGTATTAAACGTTTGAGAACAAAAGAGGAAATCCTGCTTTCAGACTGAGAATGTGTACTCTTGGATTATGGCAGAAAAATTCCTCCATAGGCCTTATGCAGTTGAGGTTCAAGATGTTAAATGTGTCTTGTTACAATGTTATGGGAGACAAAAGAATCTTCAGTAATATCCTATGGCTAATGCCTACCTGAGTTCAAAATAATATTAAGGTAACATACATATGGCCACCCTCTGTACGTTCAGTTTAGCTAGAGATAAACACAGAAAACAGAGTTCTTTGATGTACTGTTAGTCAAGACTCAGGAACAAGGGATGAAATCTTGTTTATTTAGTGTACAAGAACTTCAAAACTACCATTTCAACATTATCAACATGCTAAATGGAATGAACTGGACTCTAATAAGAACAATTTTCATTCATTTTCATTTGACTTGATTTATTCTTGTCTGACATCTGTGTACATATAATGACCTTTGTTAAGAATCTGTAATATGTGAAAGAGCCTTGGAGAAAATTCAGCTGAACTAAAACGATGCATCATTGGTTGTAAAAATATTAGAATGACTTTGGTTATAAATACATAATCACAAATTTTGAGGACACAAACAATGCATTCTCATTTCCAAATCAATTTCTTATGGAGGAAAACTAAACTTACACTCTGCTTGAGAAAAACTATTTGATGCATTACTTCTCTTTATTTCAGTACAATGTAAAAAAAAAAAAGCCTTAGCAAAGACAAACTAAACTCAATAAAGTGTTGTTCTCTCACAGTAAAAAAAGAGTCATAAAGAAACCATCAATTTCAAATCAAATATTAATGCAAGCACAAACCTTGATATTAAGCTCTCAGTTTTGCAGAGCAATAAGGGAAGACTAACCTGAAGCTGATCAGGTTGGTGTAGATGAGTGGAGGCATGAAGAAAGAGAGAATCAGCTTCCAGACCTCGGTAGACCTCTCCATGTCACCCCACCATATCTCAGACAACAGAGACTGTCGCAGAGCAACACAAGGTCATGATGTTATCAAAGACAGAAGACAGACTGATGATATTCAGTCTGTATCTACAGCAATAATCAGTCCCAGAACACTGGGAAGCCTGACAAATGTGAAGTAGGCCAAAACTTTCAGTCAAATCTCAAGTCAAAGTAATGATTTTTTTATTTATTTCTTCCACCATAAACACACATAGACAGTGCTTATTATTGTGTGTGAGGAGGGCAGTTAGAACTGAGATGTTGGAGTTATGCAATGCTTGCACTTTATTGCAATGCAAGCATATACAACTAGCTATACGTAATTTATGTACTGTTATCTGGGGCATTACTTAGCCATTCAAGACTTCTAAATGTAGACAAAGATCTGAAAATGATACCAGCTTTCTGAGTTTATTATCATACTTGTTGAAAATAAACTCAGATCTTTTTTATTAAATCTGAACATATCTTCTGTAATAATTATTTCAGTAACAGGTGTTAGGAGTATTTTACCTTCTTATTAAGTTATGATTGGTTTTCACTGTTTGTGATCACATACCTTCTGTTGTTAAAGTGAACAAATTACATTGTGTGACAAGAATGTATTCGTCTAAAATACAGCTTTGTTGCAATGAGTACTAATGGCAAATGGCTTTTACTTTTATAGTGCTTTCTCAAGTCCAGAGGACCCCAAACACTACATTAAGTCATTCACGCATACACAGATGGTGGAAAGCTACTGGATGGTAGCCACAGCTGTCTTTAACATCTCTGTGTTTCTGTGGAGGAGTGGAATACAGTACTGAGAAGGTTGACTATCATATTTAAAAAGGTTAAACACAAGATAATTAGGGAACTATGATTCTTAGAATAATTTGACTAAATAACATAATTTTCTTAGTGCAAAATCAATGTAGGAATAAACTGGGAACAGAGTGGATTTGAATTTGGTGCATGTTTGCTTTATTTTCACCATTATTTCTCACATAGAGCGCCTGCATTTCTTACACAGAGTGATTTTAAGTAGTTTTGAGTAACGGGCATAAACAAGGGTGAAATTTACTCATCCAAATGGTGATAAATTTATGCATAGAGCAAATGCTTTCTTAGGCTTTGGAACACAAGAGAAGCATGGTGGGAATCATTATTGTCAAATGGACAAAACATGGGATTCAGATTTTTGGAACTATGTATTTTTCTACCTGAACACCATCATGACTGAAGAACAGTCGGGCATCGGCTGCTGTGGCCATCTCCAGACATGTAGCCCCGCCCCACACAGGAGACTTCCTTATAAGGAGTGTGAAGGAGCGGCTCTCACTGCTTTGGTAACACTCACCAAATACATCTGAAAATACAGGACAAACAGAACATGAAAGTTTTGGGACATAAGCTAGCCGGTTTAGCACTAAGTTCAAATCTATGATTCATTTTGTTAGGTCAAAAAAGAGACTACAAAGAGCCTCATTGTTGATCACAAGCCATTTTCATTTATACTATTGCCTGATCAGACCTCAAAGGATGGATTAAGACATGAGAAATTGGTAAAATTATGCTTTATATTAATCTTAATATTACTGGCTTGTATTAATGACTTTAATGCTCAATAAAAAAATAACTTGGTTGACAAAACTAACATATCAGCCTTTTACGTGGAAGATAAGCTAATGTCATGTTCAACATTTATGAAAGTAATGAACAGGTGCAGGTTGTTGGAAATATTAGTTTAATTATGCTAGTTTTTAATGTTAATATTTGCTAATGTTGAAATATTAGATTATGTTTGTTTTTAGTAGGCCTCAAATTGGTTAACTTTTGACTTGGTTTAATCTATGCAGGGGTGAAAGTAGGGACACCTAGAGACAATTTGGAGAGGCCAATTAACCTAACAGTCATGTTTTTGGACTGTGGGAGGAAACCAGAGTACCTGGAGAAAACCCACACATGCACAGGGAGAACATGCAAACTCCATGCAGAAAGACCCGGGGCTGGGAATCAAACTCAGAACCTTCTTGCTGCACGGCAACAGCTCAACCAACTGCGCAGCCACCATATGTATACACTTTTGTCATAGTACCCCCAAGAATTTAAAACTACTTTCACCCCTTAATCTATGTATACCCTAATCAGTAGAGTATTTTAAATTAGATGTAGTACTCCATTTACTGTATTTGTGGGACTATAAGCCACCACTTTCTTCCCACGCTTTGAACCATGCAGTTTATAGCCCGGTGCGGCTTATCTGTGGATTTTTCTTCTACCGCCACAGGGCTCTTTTGCAGGAAGTAAATCATTGGAAGTCAAAATTGGAAATCCAAGAAGAAAGCACTAATTTTCATTTAGAACAAGCAAATGCTAGCAGCAGGTACACCAGAGAAATTTCTTCAAACTCATACCCATCATGGAAACCACACGAAGACGTTCATATGATGCAGCTTTTAAGTTGAGGGTTATCGATCTGGCAGTACAGGAGGGAAATAGAGTCGCTGCACGTAAACTCAGTGTGAACGAATCGATGGTTCGGCGTTGGAGACGGAGGGCTGAGTCCTTAATAGCAGATTTATTGTGAAAAAAACGTGAGTGGTGGAGATATCAGCAGCGTATAGCCCAGTGCAGCTTATATATGTACGTATCCAGTTTTTTCAAAACATTTTATAGGTGCGGCTTATAGTAAGGTGTGCTCTATAGTCTGGAAAATACGTTAATTAAAATTTGTCTACTTAGTAGAATTTTTTCATATACGATTACAACCTTAAAAATGTATGTTACATATATTCATCTGAAAAAAAAATGCTGTAGTTTGTTATAACCAAAGAAGTAGAAATCTAATCAGAAAAATATTGAGCATAATTGATGTTTTAGTATTGAAATTGCTCATGTCTGTTTTATATAAATTTGAAGATATTATATGGGATGGGTGCAAATTTCTATAATCAAAACCTGTTTAATGTAGCAACACACCAGGTCAATGTAGAGGTCAGGAGGGCTTTGTGTGGAGTTAGAAAACCAGGTTGGGGCAGTTTGGAGGGATGGAAGTACACCTAGTTGATAAAATTTGGTCCCACATTTTTTGAGTAGAAATGTTTCCACATGAAATAGCACATCCATTGTTCTTAGCTTGGGAAGCTGCTTCAAGGAGTGTAGAGAGGATGGCTTAGGCAGTGAATTTACTGGATGCCGTGACCTTTAGTAGAGTTGTTTTCGTGCAGCATAAGACCTCCATTGTTCCTGGCCAGAAAAAGTCTCATGCTTTGTCTGCGTGCAGCGGTAGCCCAGAACCACGTGCTGCTGGGATGTAGGATGAGTCCACCTCTAAAACAAATAACGTCAGAACGCACCAGACAGAAAAAATCCACCTTGATGTACTTGGATATAAAAGTAATTGAGCTAAAACAGCTATTCAGATCACTGGGGTGAGACTGCATTTTTGTTCTGTCTGCACAGTGCTCCCCTGAGAAATGTCTTCGTAATTTGTATTTTTCTAAGGTAATCAATGTTTTCTTTGTGGCTTTGGTATGGTCATGCTGAGATGTTGGTGTTATTTTATCCATTTGAGTGTTTGAATAAATTCTGGTTGATTGTGAAGTGATTATTGTCTTTATGGTTTCACATTTACACCCTGAATTAACAGCTCTGGGGAGACAAGATAACAAGCAATAGGTAGAAATATCTCGTTCTTAACAAGGTCAATAGGTTAGAATATCTTCAAAAAGAAAATTCTGTTCTATTACTTGGTTCATAAAGCAAATCTCTGGCTTACAGCTGATAAAAACTAAATTCACTTTCTCAGAAAATTTGAATATTTCATTCATCTGTCTCTCCAGCCATCCCCGCTTATTCTCCCAGGGTTGTAGAGTTTTATCACACTGATACTTTTAAAAATATTTTTATATGTTGTGGCCAAGGGTGTAACTTTGTGTTGCAAGTTGGTGGGGACAAAGAGGAGTGGGGGAGGGGGAGGATGTTGATGCACCCACAGTTACTAGAAGGCCTTTTCTTTTAATAATGCCAAAATTTACATATGAATGCCAGAAAGTCGTATTCAATAAATTAGATATGTCTTGATCAGGCTTGTCAGATTAATAGTACCTTTCAAAAATAACCTTTTAGCAGGTATTAAACATACTACAAAATATAAATATGTTAAAACATACATAATCTAATTAATCTATATAATGTCTTTCATTTGGTGATGGAACTGCTGACAAAGGAACTTTCCAGTCATATTCTAATTTATGGAATCAGCCTGTATTTGCTCAATGCTTGCCTACAGTTGAAAACAGTTTCACAATTCAGTAATATTTTTTGTTAAGAATTATCACATAGTTGCCTCTTATTGTCTGATTTTACCAAGTGCTAAAAGCATCAACAACATGAGATTCTGTAACAATCAAAATGTTATTAAACATTTTAAAAACAGAATAAGTAATTTCTGTGTAAACCAAATGAATCCTGGTCAGTACAAACGTTGTACTTTTCTATTATGTGATTCTGATTCCACATCTGTCCCTCAGCTGGTTGGCAAAACCTTTTGTCTTGCTGACTTACACATAGCAGATGAGATGTGATGTGTCTTTAATATAGCAAATAATAAAGACGCAAAACCTTTTTTGGGTCTGGTTGGGGCAGTTGGTGAGTAGAGTGACCATCGATATTACTGGATTCTATAATATGTGGCTTAAAGCTGAGATGCTGATGTTTGGATATGTAAAACATATATTCTCTAGGCTATTAAATCTACAGGTCCTTCTCAAAAAATTAGCATACTGTGATAAAGTTCATTATTTTCCATAATGTAATGATAAAAATTAAATTGTCATATTTTAGATTCATTGCACACCAACTGACATATTTCAGGTCCTTAACTGTTTTAATACTGATGATTTTGGCATACAGCTCATGAAAACCCAAAATTCCTATCTCAAAAAATTGCGGTTGGCGATTCCCCCCGCACAGACTGGGGCCAAGCCGTCACCGCTGCCCTGAGGGCTCCAAAAGTATAAAAGTTATGTGAAAATTCTGGTATTGTAAAGAGTATTACTAAAATATTTATACAAATAAGGAGTTAGGTTTGGAGGTTGGTTCTAGATCAGGGCCAGGATAGTCAGGGTTTTTCCATGGCGACACTTAAAAAAGAATTAAACAAAAAAACAGAGCAATATTTCATTATTTGATATATCAAGTAAGCCAAAGAGCAACTTGTGTCTCCAGAGATTCAGGCTGCAGAGCCCTGATCTAGCAGATGGAAAGTGTGATCCTATACAGCAGCTAAAAGTGCAGCACTATAATTTTTAATTCATTGTTAAAATAAAATTGTGAAGGTTAAAAAAAAAATCCACCTCTGAATATTAACAAAATGCTTTTATTTAGCATAATTTCTTCTGCACCCCTGCTGGAAATTAATCTAGATCCGCCCCTGGGCAGAAGGTCTATGTCTGACATTAATAATACATAAAATGACCACCGAACACTGAATTAATATGTCAGCATTTCTTAATAAAACAAACAGAAAGCCCTAACACATTTTTTTTTTAAAGAAGGAAATATTTATGTATTTACTGTTAATCTCTTAATATGATTTGGTCTTTAAATGGCCATTTATATTATTTTGGCTGATACGACTATACATTAAATAAGCAAATAATTGATTATCTAATAATCAAACCATAACAGTCAAAACCACAAAAAGAAACTTAATCAATCATAGCAAAATGTTCTGTACCATATCAGCCCCAGGATTTGATTGAGGAATGAAGAGATGATGATGTCTGGTTCTTTAGGTTCTA